CTAAAATGGATAGGGAATTTAAAATTTGCAGTTCCATCACAATATTGATACCTACCAAGAAAACAAGCAACCCATTGCCCACAAGCCATGTAACACAAAAGCACTGCATTCTGCAAAAAGAAAGCCAAATCCATCACTAATATATTTAAGATAGTGGCGTGGCTCATTTGAGAACACCAACTTAAAATATGTCTATCCAAAATCTTGAAACTCCGTCTTCAAACATCAAACTCACTAAGAAAAAGTAGCACAAACCTCTATCTTTATTATTTTTATCTAAAGGATGTGAGATTTTAACTAATGCTCGATCCAAAATTATCTTTATTATTTTTATCTAAAGAATGTGAGATTTTAACTAACACTCGATCCAAAATGAAATGAGTAACCATGAATCAAACTGGAAAGGAAGCTAAAAAATACCGACACACATATACGGAAATATAAGTGAGCATATATAAGGAAAAGAAAATTCGATGGAGCCAGCACCAGCAATCATATGGGATCGTCGGGGCTGGCTCCGCCCCTGGTGGGGACATACCTCGTTAATCCGTTGAGTGAAATTTTGAGTGAGTGATATGGTTGCGCTGCCAAAAGTGTTCATGAGTTTGCTAGTGACTAAAAACGTAACTGGCATTGAAATTCCATCACCAATGGCTCCCAACAACCCTAAACTCATCAACAAGGCATCGTAACTATCAGCATGCATGAATATGGACCGAAAAGAACCATTTTTCTTCTTATTCTCCGGAATCTTACTTTCATTACCCATATTTTTTTACACTTTATAACTAAAAACAAAACGAGAGAGAGAGAGAGAGATTCAGTGTCTCCACTGCTGTAGCCTGTAGAGAGAGCATATATATATTCGGTCTCTACCGTTGTTTTTTTCCTGGTTTTTGTGCTTACATCTGCAAATGTTTTGTCATTTAGCATGCTGGAGAAGGACGAATATTGAGACGGTATCAAATGTATATAATTATTTATTAACAACTCTGATTATTTTCTGTAAGCTCTAAATCATTTTTAAATAAGACACTTCCAACAAATAATTATTCCTTTTTAATAACTCTTTGACACTATTTTAGCCAAATAACATTTTTATAATAAATATGAGTCAAGCAATCATCGAAAGAATTAAACATTTAAACTTCTATTTCGAGATTAATTATTTAATTAATAATTCTTCATTTACACTGCATAGACATATGCATGTGGAATTTATTTACGAGATTTGAACTTGGAACTTGAATCTGACTTAATAGCAAGTTGAATAATTTCATATAAGAATGTCTATTGAATATGAAACATATTGTTTAACTACAAGGACGTATATTATTACATATAAATACG